TTAAAGCCTCTTCATCAAAGACCCTATCCATGCCATTATGAAGGTATTTCTCATCCTGGCCATGTAAATTCTATTTATTTTCAACTGGTCCCACAGCGAGGAACATGGCCCCAGTGTGCATAAAGAGGGACAAGACAAGTCCTTACCCTCAATCTTGTTATGATGGACCTAGATTAAAAGACAACAGATAATACGTGATTCAAGGTAGCTTACATAGAATGCCCACTAGTACGTATAGACAGAGCTGTATGGAACTTTGGAGAGAGAGAAACGTTACGGGGACTTCTCATGAAGGAGGTAGGATGTCAGCTGAGCCTTGAAGGAGATGTTGGACCTATAATAAGATTCAGAGAGTCAAGAGTACCATGTGTCCAATAACCAAGGTGATCTGAAATGGCAATCAGCACAAACAACTGCTAAGTGATAGGACAGTCAACATTCAAGCTTTGAACTCTGCTATGTAGGTGTTGATGAAAAGCGGAAGTAAACATCTGTTCTTGAAGATACATTCCAGAATGCTGACTAACTTCCTCTTTGTTATTTGAAACCAAGAACAGTGGGAGTTTTAATTAAGTTCTATTAGCATTTCTGATATAGTTGTACAAGGAGAAGATAAAAGTGTTCTTACAATGGACAAGATATTGAAGTGGAACTCAGGAATGCTTTGGGAGGAGGTCACGAGTTTGAGGCCAGTCTAGGTAACTTAATGAGATAGTGCTTCAAAAAGAAAATACATAAAAAGGGCTGAGGTTGTAGCTTGGTGCTCCCTGGGCTCAGGGCCCAGTACAGAGTGCACGTGTGCACATGTGCCGCGCGTGCACACACACACACACACACACACACACACCCCAACTCCCTAAGGGAGGCTGAGAAGTAAGGCTGGCAGTTATTCAGCTGATGAGAGTGAAGTGACTATTTTAGAGCAGCAAGGGATAGCAAGCAAGAATGTGACCAGATTTGAAATCCAACCTCTGTCCTTTGCTGGTAACTTTAGATATGTTCCTTGAACACCCACAGTCCCAGCTCATTTCCTCTGTGAGGTAGAGTAGTGCTTACATATGTGGGCTTTGTTACTGGGAGTTTTTATTTTTCATATCTTAGACCTTCAATTTCCCAAACCATAAAATGGAATAAATAATCATTCATATAGTTATTGTAGGGATCAATGAATTCATTTAAAAATTAAAATAGCACCTGGCAAATAGAAGTGCTTAATGAGTGTTAATTATGAAATCTGCCGAATAAAGCAAATGGCCATTTATGTCCTCATTTTCTCTCTTGTAAGAATTCTGTAAGGCAATAAAGTAAAATTGTCTAGTAAAGAATAGATACTCCACTTACACAGAAAAGATGACATTGTCTCTATGCTCAAGAAGCTTATAGTTTAATTTGGGACACACAATCATTGGTATGGTATGTGCTGGAAGAGGAGGTTAGATTCTTCATGATTCCTAAATCCCCCAGAGACATTTCCCCCTAAAATATCCATGAGGCATTTCAGATGTTTTCACTGTATATCTTTTATTGGTAGCATGTAACTTTGGAGCTTGAAGGATTCTGGCATTGGACTACTAAATATCTAATCCCAGATCCACATGATCAATAGGTAAGCCCTTCCTGCCTCAGTATCCTCTTATATATAATAGAGACAAAAATACCTACACTTCTTGGAGTGTGATGAAGATTAAGATTTAAAGTTGGTTAAAAATTTAGAAGTGTGTCTGGTACATAGGTAACTTCTATACCTACTACCCGTCATTAAGTCTGCCATTGCTTCCTTCAATGTTGTTTTTCCTGAGGGAAATATTTTCCTTTTCCTGGATAAAATTTCATCTCTGTCAGGTCCCTAAGGACAGTTCTGTCTTTTGAAGTTTCAAAGAAGTATGGATTCATTTGTTAAAAATGTCCAGTCCATGATACCAGTTTTCTTTTGTGTGTGGGTTAAAAGGTAGGACTTCCCTAGTTGGTGACCACCAGCTTCCAGGAATGATGTGTGTTTCTGCTCTCTGTCCACCTCCTCCCCAGGGGCCAGTTGCTCTTTCTGATCCTTACCAGGTGGCGGCACCATTTGTATTTCCAGTGGACTCACTTTGATGAGTGCTCTGGCGGCTGCTGTGAGCAGCAGCTTTGACGCTGGCAATGCTGGACTTGACTACCCAAATCAGTCAGCTCTTCTGTCCCTGAGACACAATACCTGAACCAGCAATTTAAAGGAAGAGAGGTTTAATTTGGCTCACACTTTTGGAGAGTTCAATCCATGGTTAGCTGGCTCCAACCCCATGGAAGAAGGGGATGGCAGGACAAAGTTACTTACTTCATGGTGGCCAGCAAGCAGAGCAGGGAAACAGTGCTGGAGAGGAAGGGGTGGGGACTGTATGTGTTCCTCCAGGCCATGCCTACATGATCCACCCAGACCCACCAAGAGTGTCCTTTAGTAAGCCCCAGTCCTGAGACCTATGACCAAGCCTCGGGCTCTGTCTCCAGCAGATTCTCCTTCATTGGAGTTCCTCACCCTTGAGATATTTGGCAGAATGTAACCTCACTTACTGAGGCTTTCTCTCCTGTGTGGCCACTATCAGGACCACAGGAACAGGTCCTTCTCTCTCACCCTGGCAAACTCTGGGAGTGTGTGGCCCATTAAACTGCGACAGCTTTTATCCTCTACTTGAATCTCATTTTATCTTTATCACATGAAGGCCAGGACAACATTCCTTAGAGTTTCCTGGCTTTAGAAAATAACTTCAAGCCCTCAGAGAGGCCAGAGATGTCCCATTAATAAGACTAAGGTGATGAATGTGATGCTTCCCTTGCTTTAGATGGGTCTCACAGCGAGCCATGTTGTCTCTGAAGAAGACTCTACAGATACTATGGCCATATGTACTCTTCTGAGCCTTTTGGAAACTCACCTGTCGTTTATATGCTCTGCACCACAGTAGTCAAAACTGAGATAGAAAAAGCCTCATTTTAACCTTCTGTTTTTTTAAACCACAACTGAGAACAAGAAAGCCCTCAGTTGTGTCTGTCTGTCTATCTGTCTTTTTCTCTTTCTCAGATGGAGAAGAAAAAATCTGGGTCAAGTCTTAGCAGAAGATGGCAGAATTCCCAACTTGATTTAAGCCTATTTTCTTTGTTGCTTATTTGATCCTTTTACTGGGAAAGGATGCCAATATTCAGCCATAGGGACTTGGTTAAAAGCTTTTTAAATTGATAGCTGTTGGATCTTGAAATGAATAACATTTTGAGGTTTAATAGTGGCTTTACTGAAAATAAGGAATTCTTCATACATTTAATTTAACTCCAAGAATAATTAGGAATGTAGATTTATATTAGTAGGAGTTAGAAATTTGAAATGAGGCTCCGTGATGTTTTATTAAATGGTGCAACAACCAATAATCCTTTAAAGATTCACTTAAATAACACTGGTTTTCCTTCAGTTGTCCTTTTAAAATCCGTATCAACCAGCTGCTCATAAAAAGACGTTACTTGGAAGGCTATGAGCACATGTATGGAATATTTGGTGTCAATGAGTGTGGGAAAGCAGGTGGTTTTACATAATCCAGGTGGAATCATTATAGCCTTTCTAAAGAATAAACTGACAGAAGGCCTCAGTAGCCTTTACAATTATGTAATCTCCAATTCATTAATCTCTTCTACAAATTTCTCTTACAGAATGAAAAAAGATGCAAACATATCTTTTCAAAGATGTTTTTGCAGTGAAGGAATTTAAAATTTTAACTATAAATGCTTTACTAAATTATCATTTATACATATAGTAGAATTCTATGAAATCCTTTACAGGGTAAACAAGGGTAGGCTATGAGCCCTTATTTATCAATAGAGAAAATGTTTAAAGAAATGCAGTGCAGAGGAATATGGAGAACCAGATTCCCCATTAAAAAATTTACATACTTATGTATAAAAATACACATAGTTCAAGAAAAGCCAACATTGTAACAGTGGATATTGAGCAGTGGAACTTGATTTATGCCTTTTTTACCTGTATTTTCTAACTTCTCCATAATGAATATGAATTATGATCATTTGAAAAGAAAATAATCACAATAGGTTTTATGTGATCCAAGATCAAGAAATATGGTTAAAAAGAAGGACAGTTGCATGAATCTAATATTAAACACATATAAACATGAAGAAAAAAATACAGCTTAGTGCTAATGGAAAAGAAAAGACTGGAATCTTTTTCAATGAATGTCATTGATCATCTGTTAATTGCATAATTTTGTTCAGCAGAGAATATTTAAGACATACAAAGTGAGAGAGCTAGATATAGTTTTCTCTATATTAACAAAATGAAGTATCTATTTTAAGCAAGTATTTTAATTACATTTCATAGATTCTGAATGAATGTCCTCAATAATTGATCTATCTATGTCTATAGATTTTGAATGACATAGTTTTTCTTACTGACTTGGGCAAGGTAGTATTTTACTTTTGCTTATTTCTCTACAGTAGACAATACCAGTTATGTGTAGTTAATATGGGGCACATGGTTGTTTCAGTTCATTTGAGTTTGGCTAATCCTTCCCGAATGACCTTTGTACCAAAACTTTTCATGTGCAATCTGTGTGAATTGCACCTCAGGGCAAATGTTTCTAAGAAAGATTTATGGAAATGGAAAAGCTCTAAATATACCAATTTACAGCTGAAGGAGAAAATTACATGTCCATAAATAGTGGATGTGATCATCTTGGGCCAGTGAAATAAGTGTTGCATGTCTGTTCAGGATGGAGGCCAGTCCTAAAGACATACCCCAACTGCTATGCATGCCAGAGAGAGGAACGTGCTCACATCATCTGCTAGCTCTAAAGCATGAAAGGGAGAAAGTGTTTGTGAGAGTAAATGGAAAATCATTAGCAGGCCTCTGTTAAGAGGGTAAGGGAGAAAGCTAATGCATTAGGGCCAAGCTGACTCTCAGAATGTGGTCATCAGATCTATCACCCTCCTCCCTCAATCCCCTCACCTTCTTTCTTTTCTCTTTGTAGTTGCCCCAAAGCCTTGGCCTGTAGGAGAGAGCAGTGATGGATATCTAAATTCTGTAAGTAAAATAGGCAAAACACACAGCCAGATACACACACACACACACACACACACACACACACAGACACACACACACGTAACTGAAATAGGACAGAAAAAGAACTTTTTCATTTAAGTGGACTCTACCCAATGTGGTGAGTTCTTAGACAAGATTAAAGCAGGAACTTAATCTGCACCAGGGAGACTAGTTTTGTGGAAGACAGTTTTTTCTGTGGATGAGAGTCAGGTAGGGGGTGGTTTGGGGATGATTCAGGCACATTATATTTATTGTGAGCTTTATTTTTATTATTATTACATTGTAATACATAATGAAATAATTATGCAAGTCACCATATGTGGAATCAATGGGAACTGCTATGGCTTGTATCTAGATGTCCCCCCAAGGCCTCATGCAGTCATAAGTGGGGCTTTTTGGAGGTGGCTCAACTTAGGGTGTGTGATTCTGGGATCAAGGATGCAATGGTAGGATTAAGGGTGTGAGAGGTGCCTGCTCTAAGGGTGGGTAGCTTGGATAAGACATAAGAGACAGGAAGAGAGTCCTTGCTTGTTGCTTGCTGCTAGCTGCTTGGCTGCTTCTGCTGCCTTCTGCCTTCTTTGCCATGGACTATTTCTTCTCTGTGATGCCCCTCTGCTGTGCCACCCTGGCTTGGAGCCAGCTGACTGTGGACTGAAACCTCTAAAACTATGAGCCAAAATAAGCTTTCTTCCTTTAACTTCTGATGTCGAGTGTTTTATCTCAGCAACGAGAAAAGTAACTAAGACAGGAACTCTGAGCTTGTTTTCTTGCAACTTGGCAGTCTCATCTGGGGCTGATGCAAGACAGTGAGATCTGTTTCACGTCACTTATGCTCAGTCTATTCCATGGCTGTTGTTGCTGTGAATAACCCTGCTTAACAAAGATGCTGTAAATGGAAGGTGGATTTTCAGTGCTTTTGTGGCAATCTCAGACTATCCCACTTTGTCTTTAATCAAGAACATACGGAGATTTCAATTTGTCTCAAGCACACTTTTTTTTTTTTTGGTACTGGGGATGGAACTCAGGACCTTGCGCTTGCAAGGCAGGCGGCAGAACCACTGAGCTAAATCCCCGGCCCCCTGAAACATACTTTTAAGACCACTGTCACTTGTGTTCTCAAGCAGCTGATCCTCTCCTAGCACAGAAAAGTCCATGTATTCACAAATGAGCCGTGGATCCATGCCTTCCTGGTTTGGGGCTCTTTGGTCATGGGGTCATGGTGCTCAGACTCTTTTGAAAGCTGAGACAGATGCAAGGAAGAAGGTCCTGCCTCAGTCTCTTTCAAAATCTTGCTAACATTTGAACCATGTCAAACATCCCGATGTTCACTCACTGCTCCCATAATCCCAGTTTGGCTCTGAGTGCAGCCACTTTATCTGCCGACTCGAGCACAGTTGTTGTTCTCCCAGAAGTGACAGATTAAGTTCTTGAGCAGGTTGAATATGTCACATAAGTAAGCAATTTTTCCAACTGATTCTGTGTCACTGAAATATGCTGCCAGGGGTGACGATTTTCTAAAACAAATGTCTAGAGTGGCTCTTGTAACTCAAAAACTCTAGTCATTGATCTTCCTTTAGAAAGCCGTCTCACTTGGGTGAACAAGAGAACATGTGTGTGCTCTGTGCCCATCTCCTCACAGAGCTGTGTAAACAGACATGAGGTAAGGGCATGGACTTCCATGCAGTTGAGAATTTTAATCACTTCTTCAAATGCTATTAAGTTTAGATGACATTTTTTGGCTAGCTAGCGTTTCTCTATGGATGACATGGTGTGTAGATTTACATTCAAAAGCAACGTCTTTGACTTGAGTAGTGAAACCAGAAAGCTGTCCAGTCATAGCGGTCATTCTGCCTGTGCATATGCCAACAAAATCACCAATTCAGTTTTCCTGTATATAATCATTCGAAGACCGGAATAGTTCTGCAGTTGCAGTGTTGGTTGAGAACAACAGTGCACATCCTCCTGAAAAATATATCACACAAAAACAAGCATTGTTGTCTTGTTGTCAACATTAGTACACTCATCAGCCTGGATTGTGTATCACAGTTACTTGCTGATCCTTTTTAACAATTGTGCCTCAACTCTCCTAAGGCAGATCCAGGGGCCACCAATGGAGAGGAAAGTGAACACCCAGTAGTGGAGCTGTACAAACTGATTAAAGAAGAGACAAAGAAAGTTGGCGAGTACAAAGAAAGCATAAGCCAAAAATAATGGAACTACCATAGGAAATGACCAGTATGGACATGGGAGAAGAAAGAAAATATTGAAAGAGCTGACCAAAGAAGTTCAAAACATGAGTGACAAATTGATCAAAGATCGAGACTCCACAAAAAAGGTGTCAGAGAGAAGTACTGGAGATAAAAAAAACTGTAGGGCTCATAAATTTCAGAAATGACCAATGTGAAGACAGGGATTCTGAAACTGAAGGCACATGGTCAATTACTCAGAGAAGCCTTAAAAATTATATGAGAACAAGAAAAATTCTTCCAACAGCGAAGGGAGAAAGAGTTACTCAGACCCATGAGACCAAAGTATGACTTCTGTATGTGCTGGGCTCAGGGAGAACTGGTTACCTTCTGAGAATCTGTCCTTGAGGGAATAAACACCTTATTCTGAAATATTGGGTACAAGAACTTTGCCTGGCTTCTAGCTATATCCCAGAGCAGACTCCCTCTAAGACACATGAACCTTATTGGCATGAGGCCACCTTTGGGTAACATGCTATATAAGTTAGCAGGGAAAAGCAGACTTTGAGAGATTCCTAGACCAGCCGCTGTCTTGGGATTTCCCCAGCTGTCCTCTGGTGTTGAGCTGAGTTGGTACCCCGGCTGGTGACATATTACTTCTGTCTGTCATGCTTTCTTTTTACTATTCTTATTGCTTAAACTTGTAATAAAGCTATCTTTTTTTTTTTTTTTTTTGGTACCGAGGATCGAACTTGGGTCCTTGTGCTTGCACAGCAGGCGGCGAAACCACTGAGCTAAATCCCCAGCCCAAACTATCTTTACTTTTGCTTTCTTGCGGCATGGTGTGGCTTTCTTCGTGGATGGAGTCTCAATCTAACTAACTGGTGCACTCAAGTAGCTTGGTATTAACTCTTGCTACAACAATCAGCTGCTAGACAACTCTAAGAAGACCAAACTAAGGCTGATTGAGGTTAGAGAGAAATCTGAAGTCAGCATACATGGAAAATCTGTTTACAGAAATCATAATGAAAAACTTTCCAAGTATGAGGAAAGACATCAGCACACAGGTAAGCAAGGCTTACAAAGCACCAACTATGATTCAAAACAGAAGCTCCCTATGACCACATCTTACTCAAAATCCAAGATGTCCAACAAAAAGACAGAATCTTAAAAGCTGTTAGAGAAAAGCAAAAAAAAAAAAAAATCATATATAAAAGTAAACCCATTTGGATTACAATAGAGTTCTCAATACAAACTTTAAAGTCCAGGAGAATCTGGATTGAAGTATTTCAAGCCCTAAAACAAACAACTTTCCACCCTGACTAGTATATCCTGCAAAACTCTTTCACAATAGATGGAGAGATAAGGACATTTTACAACAAAAAACATCTGAAGAGATAATCTGTACATCAAACCAGCACTCCAAAGAATACTCAAGAATACCTTAGACAGTGTCAATAAAGCCAACAAAGCTGAAAATTAAGATGGGATGAATATATCAAAGAAGGCAAATAGTTAAACCAAAATGGAAAAATAATGAAGTCAGCAACAGAAAAAGATTGCAATGACAGGAATAAATCAATACCTTTCAGTAATAACTCTCAATGCAGATGGCCTCAACTCCTCAGTTAAAAGGCACAGATTGGCAGACTGGATCAACAAACAGGATCCAGCAAGTCTGGTGCACTTAAGAAACTCAACTAATCTAAAAAGAAATTCATAGACTAAAAAATCAAAGGGTGGAAAACAATATTTCATGTACTGGGACCCTGAAAGCAAGCAGGGTGAATAATTTTACTCTGAGACAAAGTTCAAGTTAAAACTGATCAGAAGAGGCAAAGGTCACCATGTACTAGTTTAGGAAACAATTCAACAGGAAGAGATAACACTTGTAAATATATATGGACTGAATATTGGAGCACCTAACTTCACAAAACAAACACTGCTGGACATAAAAGATCAAATAAATATCAACACAATCTTAGTGGGTGACCTCAATACTTCACTTTCACAAAAAGACAGATCAACTAGACAAAGAAATCAACTAAGAAATGTCAGAGCTGGGCCGCATCTTTGAACAAATGGACTTAATAGATATCTACAGAGTGCTGTGCCCCACAACAACAGGGTACATGTTCTTCTCAGCAGCACACAGAACTTTCTCCAAAATTGAGCACATTAAATGCAGAAAGCCTGGTTAAATAAAAACTAAAGAATCAAAATCACCCCGTGTATATTACCAGACCATTGTGCACTGAAAGTAAAAATCAATTACAAAAGAAACCACAAAAAATTTATAAACACCTGGAAACTTAATAACACATTCCTGAACACCCAACAGGTCATAAGAACTAAAAGGTATAATAGATAATGTGAAATAAGAAAAAAAGGGGCAAAGGGGAAGGGGAAATGGGAGGGGTAGGGGAAAGGAAAGAAGGGAATGGAATTAATATGAGAAAATGAAAAAATAGAAACAAAGTCTTCATAAATAAGGAGGGGTGGAGGGGGTGAAGGGAGGGCAGGGGAAGGGGGAAAAATAAGAACCAAGTGAGATTATGTAAAGGTGCAAATTTCCAGTGATGAATGTCATTATATTGTATACCTAAAATGTACCAATAAAATTAATTAAAAAAAAAGAAATCAAGGAAGAAGTTAAACAATTTCTGATATCAAACGACAATGCCAGTACAACACACCAGCACCTATGGGACAGAATGAAAGCAGTCCTAAGACAGAAGCTTATTACAGTCAGTGACCACATTAGAAAAACAAAGCTCAAATAACTAACCTAATAATGAACCTCAAAATACTTGAAAAACAATAATCCAAACCCAAACCTAGTTTAAGGAGGGAAATCATAAAGATTAGAGCAGAAATTAAGGAAATTGAGACTAAAAAAATAAAAAGAATCAACAAATTGAAGAACTAGCTCTTCAAAGAAATAAAATAGATACACCATAAGCCTAACTTACCTAAAGAAAAAGAGAAAAGGCATCTATGCAATTAGAAATGAAGAAGGCAAAATCAGACACTGCTGAAATTCAGATGATAGTAATAACTATGAAAGATTGTACTCTAACAAATAGGAAAATTTAAAGAATTGGGCAGATTCTTAGACACATGCAAATTATCAAAAATGAACCAAGAAGACATAAAAATTCTGAGCAAACCAATAATAAGCAATGAAATTGAGGCAGTAATAAAAAACCTACTGACTAAGTAAATCCCAGGACCTGATGGATTCACTGCTGAATTCTACACGACCTTTAAGGAGGTTATAACATCACTACTCCTCACAATCTCTAATGAAACTGAAAGGGAAGCAGTGCTCCCGAACTTATTTCTGGAAGCCAGCATCATTCTGATGCCCAAACCAGTGAAAAACCCAACTAAAAAGAGAAGTACAGGCCAATCTCCTTAATGAATACAGATGCAAAGGTTCTCAGTAAGATGCTGGAAAATAGGATGCAACAGATCATCAAAAAGATCGGACATCATGACCAAGAAGGTTTCATCCAGGGATGCAAAGAGGGTGCAGCATATACAAATCAGTGCACCACATAAACAGAAGCAAGGACAAAAACCGCATGATCATGTCAATAAATACAGAAAAAGATTTGATAAAATCCAATATCCATTTATGATAAAAACTAGAAGAAAATAGATATAGCAAGACCTTATCTCAATCTGATAAAAGCCATTTATGACAAACCAATGGCCAGCATCACATTAAATGAGGAAAACCTTAACGGTTTCCCTCTAAAATCAGGAGCAAGACAAGAATGTCCACTATCACCACTCCTGTTCAACACAGTACCTGAAACATTAGCAGGAGCAAAAAGGCAAGAAAAGAAATAAAAGGAAAGGAAGGAGTCAAAGTATCATTATTCATAGATGACATAACCTTCTACATAGAAGATCCAAAAAATTCCACCAAAAGGCTCATAGAACTAATAACCAAATTCTGCAATGGAGCAGGATATAAAGTCAGTCACAAAAATCAATAGCGATCCTGTGTAGCAATAGTGAACTCACCACCTCAGCTTCACCTGACACCATCAGGTATTAGATTCTCCTAAGGGGCGTGCAATCTAGATCTCTCTCATATGGAGTTCACAGTGGGGTTCCTGCTCCTACGAGAATCTAATGCTGCCACAGATCTGACAGGCAGGGGAGCTTAGCCAGCTCTACAGGTGCTTTGCACACTGGCTCACTGCTCACCTCCTGTGCATCCCAGTTCCTGAGACGGATTGGTTCAGACCTGTGGCTTGGGAGTTGAGGACTCCCGGACTAAAGAAAGGAGAGCATGATTTGTGTTATGTATACTGTATAAACAAGCAATAAAGTGCTAGTTTGCAAATACATAAATTTTGCTAGAGACTCTGTTTAGCCATGCATCTTTCTCCAATATGAGGAGCCTCATTATTGTAAAAAGTTTAACCTCGGATTAATATAACTCTTGGTAGAATCCCCCAAAATATTTCCTCCAAGCAATATTATCTAGAACAGGATTCTGCAAGCTGAGGCCCATGGGCCCCATGTAGGCCATTGCCTGTTTTCATAAATGCAGTTTGATAGGAACACAGCCACATCTGTTTGTTTAGGTGTTGTCTAAGACACCTTTCATAAACAAGCAGCATTCCGGGCAGTCACAGAAGCCATTAGACCTACAAAGGCTGAAATCTGCACTATTTACAGATGAAGGTCATCAGCCGCTGATCTAGAAGGAAAAAAGGCAAAGCACAAAAAAGAATTTGTTAAAATGAAAAGCGACAGGAGCATGAACTTTTATGTTTTAAACAAACAATATGCAAGGGCCCTTGTTTCCAAGGAATACATATTTTTGTATATTTTCAATGTCTTGGAATCAGTGTGAATGTGATGATAGATAAAAATATAAAATTACTGTTCACCAGATAAAATAAGTATGCTACAGTTGTCACTGCCTACAAAATTGGACAAATTTAACTTTCTATAGAAAATATCTCTCATCTTTGTTCCTGGATCCAAGTTATACATATTGTTAACAGTGGACACTGTGCAACAGTAATAAATATGAACTCATTTCTTTCCATCAAAAGTGTAAACATTCTACAAATATGTCCTAAGGAAAAAACATCTATAGAGATGAATTTGTAAGGATAGCAGCAATGTGACCCAGCTTTGTAAAATGATAGGTACGTACTTGCTTCTATGTACACGTATCTCTCTGGTCATCTATTCATCTACCAAGGCTGGAAGAATACATAACAAAATCTTAACAGTTGTTGTCCCCAACTTAGGGAATTATTATAGATTTCTCACTTTTATCTTATATTTTTAGTTATTTAATGATTTAGAAAACAGCATGTAGTTTTTAAAAAAGCCAAGTTATTTTAAATATTTATATTATTAATATAAAACTATTAAATAGTAAATAATGGTTATTAAATATCAGATAAATAGCTATTTAAAATATGTGAAATGGCGTGTATAATTTTTAAAGAAACAAACTATAAAGAAGAGGCAAACAGAAAATTGGAAATTTTGTAGTAGATTTAGCAAAGTGTGTTATTATTTTGTGATAGATGTAGATTATTATATATCAATATATATTACCTATTATATATTATTATGTGTTATTATTATGTAATTATATGTTATATATTATATATATTATTAATTGAAACTTCACTATTAACATAGTCAAAATTATGAAAAGTCACAAAAGAATAAACATTTTCAGACTGCTTGTAATCCAAGTAATGCACTAGAATTAGATTAATTTTTTTCCCATCTTCTCAAAATAGTAAATTATTTTTTGGAGCTAAACTATTTAATGAAGAGCATTGACAATTTTTTTTTGGCAGTGCCCCATGAATGTTGATTCTTCTCTGCACATGGAGGGATTTTAGCTGCATAATCACTTCTGCCTCTTCCTTCCGGGCCCTGACTCTCACCCTGCTACTTCCCAAGGGAGAGGTGAGGCTTGGAGAACTTGGAGGAGAAGCCAAACATGTGCACCTAAGCGCTTTATCATCCCTAAGGTGGAGCAGGCTGCCTGCAGGCAGAACCTGTAGGTCTGGGTCCATGTGGGCAGCCTGTGAAAATCCAGAGTCCAAGACAGAGCTGTAAATTCCTTTGGTTTATAGGTCCTCAGTTAACAAGCCAGCCTGACTATAAATCTAAAGAGTGCTTTGCAATTCATTGCTTATCAGTAATAAAGCTGGTGTTTTCTCCTTCATTTGTTTGCACTTTACATCTCTCTCTAAAAAATTCTAAGATCAAGGTTAAAATCATAGGGGAGCTAACATCCATTACTAGCAGCAGGGGAAAGGTAGCATCTTTCTGTGAGAAACTTCACAATGTGTTGTAACAGTCTTCCTCTTTGCTGGGTCATGTCTCTTTCTAAGAATTCTAGTAAATAAAACAATTAGAGGAATAAACAAATTATGTCCACAAGAATGTTTATCATTTTTGTGGTAGCAAAAATAAGGTGTTCAACTATAAAGTATAATTAAGAGAAATAGGAAGTGTTTGTATATTATTCAAGGCTACTAAAATCATGTTATGGAGAAGTGTTTTCAGCACAGCAAAATGTTCACTATGCATTGTTAGATTTAAAAAGCAAGCAGAAGCTGCAGAATAGCACATGCAATTTGACACTAATTCTGCATCATATTTATAAATCTTATAAATTTGAATAAAGAGTACTGGTAGAACACATACCAAAATATTAATAGCTATTTTTGTATCACAAAAGATATTCTTTTATTGCTTTTGACTTTCCAGTTTTCTGTATTATGTATTAATACAGTAATTAGAAAAATACTGCTAAAATATAATGAACAGTCAATGTAGCAAGTTAATAACTTCAATTTGTGATCATAAACTTTCCATTTAATATTAGTAATGATGTTCATGTTGATAAGAGTTTTTAAATGCAAGGAAGAAAAAAATTCTAATTGAATGAATGTGTCTTGAGTTAAAAACTGGGTAAATATTCTTGCTTTGTTATCTGTATGATTTATATCTTCTAAATCTCAGAGGATTAAGATATTTACTTTGCAGAGCTATGGAGGATGAAACATCATTTATATACAATTTTTTTTTGGTACCAGTAATTGAACCCAGTACCTTAAGCTTGCCAGGTAGGCGCAGCACCACTGAGCTACCTCCCCGGCCTAAAACATCATTTATAAATCTGTGAGACTGTGTCAAGATATGCTCTCAACAAACAAAAATTTTATAATGAGTTACATTTAAAATATACATTTGTAAATGGTTAATGTGGTCAGCCCTAAATCCTCTCTCCTCTAAAGCATGTATTGCAATTAAATAAGGGAGATTTTGAATTGTGAATTAAGAAAACAGAAATTTCATCAATGAGCTCCACTGTATAGTGATAGACAATTTTCATGTCACTTCATTTTATCAACCTATAGTGCCCTGATGAATTCTCCCCTGAAAATAATACTTTTACATTTTCCTGTATTTTGCGTTCTTGAGTTTGTACACTCTCGTGCAGTACATCGTGGTAAGATTCTGGATGGATAGAGGGATATGCACTTAAATATATTTTTTAAATAAGAAGGCTCCCCTATGATGAATGTGATCATTATGTCTATCTAAAGTGTACCAATAAAATTAATTCAAACAGTAAATAAGAGAGCTACTGTGAACACGGGAGTTGGAAATAACTCATCTGGTGCTAGCGAAGGGTAGGAGTTTGGGAGCTAGAAATTGATTCTTTTGTGGCAATCTGTAACCAAACGGCACTTGGAGCTTTCAGGTCATCTCAGGAAGATGAACAATGAAGACAGATCTGGGGGATGGGAATAGCTTTGCTCAGTGTTACATTTCTGGAGGAGCAGAAAGGAAGTAAACAGATACATGAGAAATGACAGTGACCCGCGTACATAATAGGACAAGCGGCGTCTGTCTAGGTTCACAGGGTGTCTATTACAGTTACTCTTGGGAAGTCTTTACGACGTCACTTCAAAGAGGTTAAAAAGTAGAGGTTAGAATTCAGAGTGTTTAAGTAGTTTGCCTAAAGTCAAACGAAAGAAAGTAGCAGAACTGGCCTACAAACTCAGTCTTTTGGTTCTGAAGATGTCCTAGATAACAGTTACTACTTACGCTCTATAAAGTCTGTGGCTATTTTAAATCTTTTTCAAAGATTAATATTTTATAGAAGCTCCCTAAAATAGAATCTCAAGTGTTTTATAAAGGAGTATGTAGAATATATAGGTTTTTTTTCTTACTGCCCACGATTTCTCTGAATCATCAGTTAAATGTTCTATTATTGTTTAGTTCTTGAATCAATACTTATAGAGCATGACAGTATGCATATGACTTGCAATCAATAACTCTCCCATGATAGTTTTGATGGTCTTTACTTTTCATGTAAAATATTCAGAATTTTAGCTTGGGATCTGAAGCATTAAGGAAGTAATATAACTTACTTAGCCAAATAGTATTTTCAGTTAATTAGAAATTAAAGCTGGTATATTATTTTCCAAAATATCCTTTCTTAAGATCCTCTTCTTGCATAAGTTTTGTCTCATTACAAATGATTTAAAAAGTACTATGATAATGCTATTTAAACAGAAGTTTTAAAATATATTTTCTGGCATACAATGAGTAATAGATTACATCTTCTATGTAGGACAGCCTCCAAGGTACAGTTCCTACATCCCAGGGAGATGAAAGTCAGGAATCTGACACAAAAACAAAGCAGGAGATGTTTGTCATACTAACTCATGTACATTTAAAGAAAGCATAATGTATAAGAAATCTCAGTTCATTCTAAAGAGACAGTTATTCAAATTAGAAGCATTCATCCAAGCATCTAGATCTGTGGAGTTCTTTTCACTTTAAAAATCATTTTCTTGAGCTTGGAACATGACTAGGAACTTTCCCCTGATAATTATATCAAAGGAGTAGATTTAAAAAGTAATATGAAGATGTTGCAGAATTTAGAATTGCAAGGAATGATTAGATAGAAGCGTAAAAAGAGAAGTGTGTCCAAAATACTGGCCCAAGGACAAATTCCATTTAATGGCTAAGGTTGGAATAAGAATAAAAAAGAAGGGCCCGGGATTTAGCTCAGTGGTTTCGCCACCTGCCTCGCAAGTGCAAGGTCCCGAGTTAGATCCCTGGTACCAAAAAAAAAAAAAAAAAAAAAAAAGAATGAAAAAAGATAAAAAAACTTATAAGAGAATTCTAAGATCGTGTCTCTATTAACTTTTTATTTTACTTGTATTAAAATATTCTTTTCAATGAGATGATAATGATAGTTAATGGTAGTAGTTGTTTTTCCTTAATGCTCTACCTTGACCGAAAAAAAAAAAAAAGTTGACATCTTAGGTGAGCCTCTCTCTACTTCATCCTGACCTTACATCAGTAACCAACACCACGGGACCACAAAGACTGGGAAACAGGCCTGTGTAGGATCTGAAGGGAGAGGAGGTGAGTGCAGGTGAGTGAGGTCCTTCTGCTCTATTTCAATGACATTACGACCAGATTTCTTACAGTGCCCAGCAGTTCCTGCATGGCCTTTCCCTGTCCATGCTGCAGGCTCTCTCCGGCCATTCGCCCACGTGTCCACATAGCTCCAGCCACCCTGGCCTCCTTTCTTTTTCTTTAAGAGCAGCAGTTCTTGCCTTGTGGTCTCTGAACTCACTCTTGCAGGGTCTGCCTGTTATCCATTCCTTATAGCTCTTCCCATGGCCAACTCCTTCTGAGCTGGTGGCACTCAGCTCCCTTGACCACCCCCTCCGAAGTCCATAACCTCACTCTGGTCACTCTCTAAACCCCAGTCAGTTCCCTCCATTGCACTGTTAATTTTATTCTTCATTCTGCACTTATTTATTGTCTACCTTCTCCTGCTCCAAGACTGTGGAATGTCTTTTGTGTTTTTGATTTTTGTGGTTGTTCTCTGTTGTATCCCTATTTCCAAGAATGGTGTCTGGCAATAAACACTGGGTATGGAAGAGAAGAAGGGAGAGAAGGCAGGGAAGGAAGAGAGGAAGGTGGAAGGGAGGGAGGGAGAAAGAGTGATTACAGCAAGATGTAAAGGCAAAGAAAGGGAGAGGACAGTGACCATAGCAGGAGCTTAGGAATATCGGGCGACGTCTTGATTGGGTAACTATCTGTAACCTCCAGGACAAAAACTCTGTAGGGTGAGTACCTGTTGCTTTTGCACTATTGCATTTCCAATGTCTGCAACAGGGCCTGAAGCATTCGGTAAAGCGTTTGTTGAATGGATGGATATGCTGTACGATGAGCTCCATCTAGGAAATTCTGCGGAATGTGATTAAGAGAGAAGAATATCTGAGTGACAAGAGGTAATTTTTCTAGTGTTTGAATTTGAAAATAAAAACCAATATTATATATAATGTTAATTGGGTCTAGTTGACAATTCCATGACAACGTTTAAAATAACCGCAAATCATTTTAGTAGAATTCTTTGCTCCAAACCGAATTAATAAAGAAGAGAATATATATTAACACCTAGTGTGGCTGAGTGTCATTGTTTTCACTTGTCACCTTATGACAGTGAAATCATGTTTCTTAGATCTAGCAGGGCGTCGTGGCCGGGCTGATATTTTCAGGAAATAAAATTAGAAGTGGCCCTGTCAGTCCAGGCACGGCAGGGTACAGAGGCTCCTGGGGGGTGGAAGTAGGTGCTGCACGTCCCCTTCTGTGTCCCTTCACACCCACTGATGTGCACAGGAGCTGAGAAGTCGCCTGGGTAAAGGGCTTACACCCATCAGCCACTGGATTTCAAGGCATCTGGATGTGTGACAGAGCACGTGAGCTTGGTTTTTGTGGCTTGGATTGTTGCAGGTTTGGTCCCTAGAGTGGCACTGCTGAAGTCGTGGAGCCTTCAGGAGGTGCAGTCTCCTGAGAAGCCCTCAAGTCATGGGAGATGAGCCCTTGCAGGGGGGATTGTGATCTCTTCCTCTTCCACTTCCTGCCCATGAGTTGATCAGCACTGCTCTGCCACATGCGCCTGCCATAAGGAGCTGCCTTGGCCTATTCTAAAGCAATAGGGCCAACCAGCCGTGGACTGGCACCTCTGAAACTGTGAGTCAAAATAAAACCCTTCTGTTTACAAGTCGATTACCTTTAGTATTTTATTATAGTGATGGAAAACTTACACAAATGGATGCCAGATTTGGGGGAACAAAATGGAGCCATGGAGGGTGCCATTTCTTTATGGAAGGAAGAGGACTGGTCTTATAAGATAACATAACCATGTGGTTCATCCTTCTGAGGAGCAGGTGGGTTCCTTGGGGATCAGCGTGGCACTCATAATTAGATTTGCTCTCAATCTGCTCCCCTCTGTTTGTTTATTTCCATCCTGGGGAGAAACGGGCTGTATATCAGTGGGGGCTTCAGTTCCAGATCCCAGATATAACTCTGAGCATGAAATGATTTAACATCGATGCTTACAAAACTTTTGGAAGGACCTGAGGACCCAACATTGGGCTATTTCCAGCAGTGCTGTCCTGAGCAGGCAGGATATTACCATGTCACACCATGATGGCAAAGTAGAGGAATCAGTACATGGCTGGAAGCAGAATTCTCTACCTCATCCACCAGCTAGCTGAGAATATAAAAGATGCCACCACTATCGCTGGTTCTAGATCCACCCCCCTTCAGCCATGATCCATGCCAGCAAAACCAGCACAACAGCATCAGGGGCCTCTATCTTCACTGCTGCAGAAAATTCTCAGGCTTCCAAGACTGTGGTTGTCAGCAAAAGTGGTAGAAGCAGCAGAGAAGTGGCCTTCGCATCACTCTTGGGTTTAAATCTTGTGTGTGGAGGATCTGCTAGGAGAAGCTAGGTCAGCTCAGAATCAAGGCTGTTAGTTGGTCCAAGAAAAGCTATTCTTAATGTTTTACCCTCTGGAGTGTAAACAGCTAGCCTGCAGCACCTGCTACAGATGGGTGATGTGGAAGTCGTGTCTCTGGGCGCTGCAGCAGGCAGGAACACAAGCACTTCACTGTGGGGACTGCAATGAACACTTCTTCAGGCACCCAGATACCTTATAGGAACCTCCTCAGCTAAATGTCCAGAGGTATTCTCTTTCTCATTTTGAAGGAATAATAACAGAGATCTCTGGCATAGAAGTGCCAGGGTGATGTTTCAGGCCCACTGCTACCCAGGCATCTGTCTCAACCTCTACCAACCCTGAGCAACAGTGGAATCATGAGACACAGCAAGTTCGAGGAGCTGCCAGCCAGGAAGCTGTGGGCTCCAAGATAAGGCTGAGTTGTGAACACAAAAAATTCCATAGGCCCCTGTAGGAAACTGGGGAGCAGGATTTGTCATCCTAATATCAAAAAGGAGGGGTCACCATCCTCAAGATGCACATATTAATATAGCCTTGTTTGATTTTGTGAGGACTTTTTCGTTATATTGGTGAAGATAAGGAGCTTAGACAAAGTAACTGAGCTGCCTAAGTCGGGCAGCGGTGCAGCTACAATTTGCCTCTCTGCAGAATGGATATTTGTATCAGCTGAGATGCTTATGGCTGAAAGCTAATCTTGCTTCAAGTTCTCTTAAACAAAGAACCTCTATCCCCTTCCTGTGGCAGGAAGTCTGAGTGGTCCCATGGGCGGGACAGCAGTCTTTAGCTCCTCTCCAGTGCTGGCTTTTACTTCCCATTGGAGACAGGATGGCTGCCACAGTCCAGGGCTCATATCCGAGCATGATGGTGGCGTTTAGAAGAAAGGGCTCACTTTCACCTCTGGTTTCCTTAAGGCCCTGAAAACTCTTCTGAGAACCCAGTAGATTTCCTCTCATGTCTCATTCACTAGATGAGATTTCCTTCTCTAAACCTATCTTTGGAAAAAGGAATGAGGTGATCATGCTTGGCTCTTCTAACTAGGATCCTCCCCTGGAGCTGAGAGTGCAGAAAATTTCCCTGGAACCAAGAGGCTTTGTGGGGAAATGGTGGTATCTGAACAAAATCACTTGTGCTAGTAAGGAGAGAGTCACGATGTAGGCTGGGGAGGGAAGGGATGGGGTTTGTTGCAGTCTCCCTATTAAACACCTATTTTCCTGAGGGGAAATTATGAGAAAAGCACTCTTGTTAAGATTAGGCTGATAGCCCTTCTCGGCCTTTTGGCTAACATCAAGTGAAGATTAGGCTGATACAGTGGAGAATGAGGGAACACCCCGGAGCTGGAGGAAAAGAGGGAACATTGGGAGAGAATGAGAGAAAGGACGGATGGTTCCAAAAGACAGAACACAGGAGGGAATGCACTGTATGATCAGTACAACAGAAGTGCTTGCACCAAAGGTGTGAACCCTGAATAGTCTTTATGAGAACATCCCTGGAGAGGAGGCAGGACACAAAGAACTCAAGATTTAGAGAGAGAGGGGGGCCCGGTTGGAGGGGTAAAGAGAGCTATGGAAGAAGGTGACAGATAAGAGAAAGGAAAGAAAGGGCTGGAAGACCCACTGGCCTGCAGTTAGTCAGTGGCAGGTGCTGTTGCTGGGATACCTGCTCAGGGGCTGACGGATTCGCAGTCCTCAGCAGCTGCATTCTGAAGAGGAGTGGCTCTTCAATAGCTGACACCCTTTGTGCCGCTGGTCGTTAAAAAACATTTAATGATGAGAGAATTCAGCAGAGCTGCCATTCTGCCAGCTGTAGCCCAACACTTAGCACCTGGGAAGGGGCATTTACCACCTCATTGGTTTGGTCCTGACAGACTTGGACGCTGCAGAATCCCAGTATGTTCTGGGCAAGAAACAGGAGCTCCATGTTAAAATTAATGGCCTTCTGGCTCCTCCTGAATTTTGCCTAGAAATGTTTAATTCATTGAACCATAAGCCACGGCCAGGGCCCTCAGGGATGCTTTCTAGGAATATCGCTGTACAGATGCTTTCCAGATGTTCAATCCCCATAGGTTTATCTTCTGCCATTCTCGTCATGTTGGTATGAAGTTTAAGTGCATAGTGCCTGGAAACATTGCGAGCAGATCTACAATGAATGCATATTTCAGATCTACAGATGTTTTATGATTTATGTTCCTTGTATATAATGTATGAATACCTGGTGTTTGCATTTAAATGAAGCTCTGATGATCTAAACATAACACAGCTGAAAGAAGAAAAAGGCCAGCCTTACACAACAGCCCGCTCTTGGTGCTGCCTTAACCTATCCCACATTCCAACTGCTGTTCCTTGTCTGAGATCTCATGTTTGTATGTTGACTTTTTGCATTGGTCTGATTTCCATCTCTCCGCTCCAAGCATTCCTCTAATCTCAGCTCCAATGATTCCTGGAAAAGAAGTTTCTCACAATAGCCCTGGCTGTGCTGGCTGTAGAGTCAGCCCTCATAGAAGGGTCAGGTAGCCAGATAAATCCAAGCAGGAATATCTGTCTGCTCTTCAAGAGTCAAGCACCGAATGTGGCCCGCTGTGGTGCTATGCCGATTGCATTTAGAATGTGTTTAAATTGAGATTGAACCATATGGCCCCTTGGGAAGTCTAGGCAGAAAGCAGGTGAGAAGTTAGTTTTCCTTTGGAAAATTATGATTCATTACCAGGAGAAGAAAGCATAGATGGTGGGTACTGAGGCACACAACCATTGAACGATGATCTATACAATCATTCACTTAAACACTCCAGGAATTCAATGAGTTCTTTGTCCAGAGTATTTACATTTCAACTCTGTGCAGTGATTTCTTGTAATTTTGTGTTGCCTTGGCATCATTTTGAGTGTAAATTTAACTTTCTCATACCAGGAATGGGCTTAGTCACCCATGACATAGTTTCTAGTTCTGTTCCTCGTCCCAGTTCCTTAATGTGATGTCCACTTATGCAACAACCTCCTGGTGTCCACCTCCTTACAGGAGAGCAGGTAGAACCTGCTTTCTGCCTCACTGGTCCCCACACGTGCCCAGACTGCACAGAAATGCTGCAGCAACCAGCTCTCAGTGAGCAGGACCCCAAAGGCCTTAGGACTGCTGGGTAGAACCCACCAGTTAGAGCTCCCTGTGTGAAATCAGCTCAGGTTGCACCCTGCACCCCAAGTAAGTCTGAATGCCACACACCTCTGTCTCTCTCATGCTCCTCAGTCAATGGTTGAGCATGCAAGTCTTTGATGGCTCCCTCTTCTCGTTGGCACAGTCAGGTATGCTGCCCCGGATCTCTGGGCTTGGAGGTCCTAAACCACATCTATGATTTCCTGTGTTGTTGCTTTGTCTCCTCTGTGTCTCAGTGCCTGACACACTTCACCCTGCCTTCCTTCCTGGTCAGAGCTCTCCTACCAAGTGGCTGTCTGGGTAGGAGTAGACTGAACACAGGCCGGAAAGACCCACAAAGATGTGTGTCAGTATAAACATGTCTCCTGTGAGAGACCACCAGGTCATGGTCAGGCATTTGGGCAGCGTGTTGTCTTCCAGGACTAAGAAGTGTCCCCTGGAAGGCACATTGTAAATATTCATGATCAAGTCCCTGGAGACCTGTCAGGGCACAGCTGGAGTTTACAGTCACCCTCATGAAAGAAACTCCAAGACCAAGTTAGAAAACAAAATGCAACACCTTGTAATTGGATTTTTGGATTGCTAAATAAAATTTCAGATCATGGGGTCCAGAAACTCAAATCCTTTACATAACACATTCTGAGAATCTTAACTTTCTTCTTGGTTCTTTTAGTTATGGATTTAAGAAAGGTGTTAAATTTGGCTGACTTACAAAAATAGCAGATGATGTCACATTCTTTGGGATAAGTCAATATGAACTTGTTCCCAAATCACAGCACCTGGGAGAATCTCTCCTGCAAAATACATCAATTCCTCAGTTGCTTAGTTGGTGCAATTGCATAAAATGCAATGCACCATTAAAAGCATCAAAGCAAGAAGGGTTACAGATCTAAAGTTGAACATATGGAACAATCTTCTGAAGAGGAATTTAAGGCTTATGGTGACATTTGATTAAGTTTTCGCATAACAGAGTACAACAGCTCATACTTAACTGCCAAGAAATGCCTTGTAACAGTGGGGCATTGTTATGCAAAAATCATATTTCTTATTAGAGCGCAGACACTGTGTGTCCACCTGCTTCGTGATCACTCTAGTTTGCACCCCAGGCACGTACACTGCTTCATGCATGGCAGATTCAATTTGCAAAGTGGTATGCAGCTTGACAACATCCCCACACTGGCTCAATAAGAGTCAAAGGGACTGCTGGTCACACTTAGTGCTGCTGACCCTGTTCACACAAGCAAGAGACAAAACCAGTGTCATGCATGCCATCCTTTCCCACAAGAGAGCTCAGGGCTGACATGGCCCTGGGGGTGATAGGCCCCACCTGGTTCCTACACATAGGCATAGGCTGCAGGGCACCCCCAAAAGCTATAGATTAAGGGAATCAAAACAATTCACAGATATTGACATAGTTGACAAAGTAGCATCTTTTTCTTAGAAGTCACATGTGGATAGCAATCTGTGTCTCCAAAGTTTACACTAATGAATTTTGTTCATTGTGATTTTAGTTCTCCAGTTCTTTGAATACAAAGAGACTTTCTATCTGTTACAGAGATCTTTCTGCATTTGTCAAAGCTTTTGGAGCAAAGAGGAGGGGACAGCAGTCCAGGGTGGTGATGTGATGAGGTTAAGGTTGTGTATCACCAACCAGGGAGCCAAGGTAAGGAAATCAAAATTACTGGATGACGTAGCCTGTGGAGTTTGGGAACAGAGCTCATGCAATTTTTGCATCATAAAAATCATTTTTTCCTTCTCAGGTTTGTAAGAGTATATAGGTACAAGCCTGGCTCAGAGTAAGTGTTCAATACATAGATATTACATGATGAATTAATAAAATGTGAAAACACAACTACTACAGGATAATCTTAGTTTCTACCAGTAATGACTGCATAAAAATGATGGAATGGAGACGAAGCACCCTCTAGTATTTAACTGGATGAGAAAAGAAGTACTCATTCAATAAAGCAGACAAATCAAGCCAAAAATAACTTCCAGAAACATAGGGAAATTGGAATGATTTATGGTATAAAACTTAAAAAATATATGTATCCCTGGCACAAAAGAAAATGTGATCCTTTTTTGTTGTTGTTGTCTCCTAATTTGTGTCCAACTCCATAAAATCAGTCCAGGGAAAGAAAATCAGCCAAACAAATTCTGATAATTTTCATTTGACCTTTAATATAGAGAGAAGAGAACTTAGGAAGTGGTTTTTAATTTTCTTCCTCTTTTGTCTTGTGGGGAATAGAAATAGCTTTGAGGACAGAAGGGCAACATGGAAAAAGTTAACAACCAGCATTGACTGGGTCTGACATAATGTAGGTGCCAATGGTGTACTTGAAATAACAATGTTGTCCACAGAGCAGGCTATACTTCCTCCAGGGCAGCAGAGTGAAGGGACAAGGTAGTTAACAAAGTGTCAGGAGGAGAACATAATCATGGCTTTCCTACAGAACCTGCATGGAACCCAAGCTGATAGCTCACCAAACCCATCCTCCACTGTCAAACTGTGGTCCACGTGGTGAGAAGAGCATCAGAGAGAATCCCCCTCCCAGGAGATCAGAGGAAGCAAAACGTCTGTCAGAGTAACCAGCATTCACGTTGGATGGATTTTCAAAAAACTGCATGACAGTTACATAAAACACCTACAGTGAGAATAGATGGGAAGGAGGGCACAGAACATGAAAAGGAAAACTTAAAAACTGAGGCTGAAAAAAATATATAACTCAAGAGTCAGAAGGCCATTGCCTTGGATAACTTTTGGCTACAAAAGAATTTATATCAAATATGAATTTCATATGACAGGAGTTCTGGTAAATTAATAGAACAAGATGATACAGGAAATGGAGGAGGGGAGACAGATGTGTTCTACCAAAATAACCTCCTTCTGTGAGGGGAAACACCAAGAATGGACTGTATGTGACTCATCTGAATTAATTCATTATTCAAAATATCCTTGAAACACTCCCAGAACAGACAAAAGAAGCTATGTTCTAGTTTCTGCCTCTGCTAGTCCTTTTGATTGCCTTGTGAGAGTCATTAATCTGATTGTCTCTCATTTTCTTTATCAAATTGGTAGGTCTTACTGTCCCAATTTTATGAAAAATGTATTTGTCCATTTTCTGTTGCTATAACATAATAATCAAAGTTGGGTACTTTATATAGAAAAGAGTTTTATTAGCTCACCATTCTGGAGATTCAAGTGCCTGCCTCTGACATCTGATCCGTTCCAGTAAATGTCTCATATGCTTGGCAAGACAGGACATGAGAGGCAGAGAGACCAGGCTCACTCTCTGTACAACCCCTTCCCGGAAACAAACTCACTTCTGCAAGACCCAGTCAGCACTCTGAGCAAAGCATTATCCATTCCTGAGAGTGGGTCTCCTGAGGGCCTAATAACCACCCCCCGGCCCCATTTGTTAAAGGTATCACCACCCTGACCTTGCTTCCACACTGGGACCAAGCTTCCAGTGGGTGAGCTCTGGGGGAACAAACCAAGCTCAGATCCTAGCAAAGAGGAAGCAGCTGTGCAGTGAGAGTAAGGAACTTGTCTGAGTGCATAGTAAACTTCCTGACTCAAGGCAGTGTGACTTTTCTGTCACATCACTGTCAGGAGGAAAAAGAGATAGCTCAGCATTACAGCCAAGTGTTACAGCTCTGTGGGACAGCTAAAGCAGTTTGAAGACACCGGAATCTGAAAGTCACTGGAAGAGGTGGAGAAAAACCAAGCTTTATTAAGCCGGCTGCCTGGCTCAGAGGAGTTTAAGCACTTTGAATTCTGACCCCCACATTGTAGTGAGAGTGAGTTTATATACAATTGGGGAAAGGAAGTTGAGAGGAACCTTTCAGGGCAGAGACATAGCTAGACGCAGGAACCTCCTGGGGTGGAGTTAATGGAACATTCTTGAAACCTTAGGTAGAAATATGGTGCAGCAATACAACCAGTTACATTGTTTGAACAGAACGCTTTGATACATTGGGCAGGAACATTGTGCAGCACAGTTATGTTTGTGGAACAGAACATTTTATGGCAAAAACATGGTCGGAGGGCAAAGGCAAAGGCCTGCCCTGTTGTGTTTGATTCCTTTATCACCACCCTGTGTTGAGGTAAAAGAAAGCAATAGGCAGAAAAGTTACCTACCTGTGTAAGGTCTACAGTGCCAGCTTAGTGGTGGCATTAAAGACAATAGGATTTAGAGGTAATTTCACATGTTTCCCTCCAGCTCAGACCTCTATTGCCATGAGAATAGGTCTATTTGCCTGTCTATTTGATAGTGTTTTGTGTTCTAATAGAATTCTTTGGGCTGAATGCTAGTAAGACATACTGTTGAAAGGCGAGTGACTCTCATTTCAAAGTAGAAAGTACCAATTTTATTTCTAGTAGGCCCCTTTTTACTGGTCCTCCTTACACCTTACACCTGGTCTTAACCATGTAACCTCATGCTGCTGTTTGTCTTCCTCCTTTATGTTTGCATAGACAGAGTTTCATTTACAATGCTATTTAATCACAGAGACCAGGAAAACTGTGCTCACTGCATGGTGGGGCAATGAGAAATGACGGCTTTTTCTGTTCTCTCTTTCGACCCCCAGATGATGGCCCATAGTTGCTGATTCACCCAACAGGAAGAAGAGCAAATGGAGTTTACTGGTACATCAGTACATGGAAGAAAAAAGAAACAGGAAGACAGCTTCCAGAAGAAATATTATGATAGGACATTTATTAAATAAACGTGAGTTCAAATATATCTCATCCTGGAAAATTGAGTTAAAGCATACCGCCTTGATGCACTGGCTGTTTCTAAGCCAGTGGCCGTGGGGCTTTCCTGAAGTTATCCAGACAGTGCCAGGTTAGGGTCTGTCCACTGTTTCAAAACTAAAACAGAAGAGACTATCAATGACAAAGCTCTGTATTTTCTGTGTCCTGTTTTAAAATCTTTATTGTTAGAATCATTCATTTCACAGCTATTTATTCAGTTCCTACTACGTGTTAGGTAGGACATTGAATAAGAAAATGTGGGCGCAATCAATGAGGCCCTTTGCAGATGGATGGTGGGTGTTCACATACTCACAGGACTTGACTGCTCAGGGTCTTTGGCCTGTCCAGGCTCCCAGAGGCCGGGCTGGCCTGACCACAGGGGTGGCCCGGCATGGCCAAGGCTGTGGTATTGCATTCTTTCTCACTTCCCTCTCCCTCCTCCTGGCCCTCATTCTTGCTCCTCCTTTTTCTGTTTCCATCTTATCTGCTCCCTCATTCTCTCTGCATAATACTGTATCTTCTGTCTCACAAGCACACAGCTACAGCCCCAGGGAGCTCTGGATTTTTATCCTTACAGATTTATTTCTGGGGAAACTCACCAGCTTCAGGTCATCAGAAAAACACGACTTGGCCTGGAGATTTGGGATTAGTACAACTCTTGGGCCACTCATAGTTATATTCCCACTCTGCTGGCCAGCAAGGTAGAGTATGCCACCAGGACGTGAGGAGTGGACAGGAGATAAAGGGAATGGCATTGTGTTGTGTAAGGGACAGCATCGCAGCCATAGCATATCATAAGCATGCTATAGGAAAACGTGTTTAGGGTTGTACATTGTTGTTCTAAGGCAGATAAAATTTAAATGAAAGGAGTACAAAGTACATGATCAGAAATATCTAAGAATAAAGCAACAAAACAGTAAAACATGGGTTTTAAATGTTGTAACCAACTTCCACTGATCATCAAGACTCTGCTTACATGTCGTTTCCTGTCGCACATTCACTTGTTGCACATGACTGCTTAGTTTCGCCTTATTAAACACATCTTCACAACACCAGGACTTCTCTTAGTGACCACGGTGACGATTCATTCTTTATTTGTTTAAAGGTTTTTTCCTCTGGTGATATGGTGACCTCAGTGAGCACAGCGTCGCGTCTAGAGTCCCACAGGCCTCCCACGCGGTAGGCGCTCAGCAGATGGTACCTTAGAGGAGACCACTGAACTATTCGGTGAATGTTTAAATTTTAAAAAATTACCAAAGACGCGCTGCCATTAATCCTTCGCAAAGTCACTTGGAATCGCGCGTCTCACTTCCAATTCACTCGTCCCGTCGTTGTCTCCGCTTCTGATGCAGCTCTGGAGTTTGTGTGTTTACGAGCTGTGATGAAAAAACACAACAATACAAAGACTGCTCCTGCTGAGCACCGTCTAACAGAAAGGCAGCTTGTAAAAACACGACCTTGTGTCCTCACCCATCTTAGTCCCCGGATCTGGCACTGCAACTTCCGGCTCTTCCCCAAAGTCAAAATGACCATGAAAGGGATATGTTCTTGCATCGGTTCAGGACCTCGAGGCAGCCAGGACAGCACAACTAAAGACACTCAGGAGAGAGGGCTCCAGAGCTGCTGCAGGATGTGGCGGGAATGATGGGACGCGTGGGTTTGAAGTGGGGGAGGGTTTTGGGGTGATTCATGGTAATGTCTTCTTTTGTCATAAATTTTTTTTCATCACATCTCACAGTAAAATGAAGAGAAAGCATGTATGCTCCTCTCCCTGTCTGTGCACGCCCTCTCTGCAGCTGCCTCCCTGCTGGGTCCCCACTGGGTCGCTGTGCACATCTGAAGATGTGAGCTGTGTGACCCATGCCATTCTCCAAGACTCTTCAGTTTCTTCAGAGCGGTGGAAACCACGCTCCCAACGGTGCCCTCCGGGGATTCTTTCTCAGTCCTACGGTACACGTTAGAGGTCTGTTTCCAACTGGCTTACAGATTTCTCATGTTAGCTTAGTAACTATTTACTTTAAAATCCCCTTTTAAATTACAGTGCAATTTCTGTCTCCTGGTTGTACTACACCAACACAGAAGGCTTGACAGAACAGTAAACACCTACATAAAGGGAAGGGGTCTTCCATTAATCTGGACCGCACGCATTGGTACTTGGCCAGTTAGTTAGTGATCTGTAAGAGCTTTATCTTCCGGTCAATAAGACACATTTATATTGATTATTGCAATTAATTCTGCTCGAATGATAATATAGATGAAAATGGGGAATAAATAAGCGAGGCTGCTAATCTTACAACACATAAATTATAGTTCTTTAAAGAACTAAAGGGCTATTTTGTGTATATATCTAAAACTCAGATACAAAAATATACATGATTCTCAATGGCAGAAAGCTCTTTTCTGTTTTAAAAGTACGGCAAGAGCTTCCAAATTGCCTCCTAATGGGTAATCTCATTTGATTTCTGTTTGAACAGAGTTAATGTCATTGCTCCTCAGTCAGGCTGGTGAGCTACGTGGCTGGTAAACTTCGGCCATGCTTAGCGCTTCCTAACACTTTAGGCTGCCCTGATCCAGATTTAATCTAGCACAAAGAACAGGAGAGCAAGGCAGCTAACAAATCTTTTCCCGAACTATTCCATGTCTCCCTTTACTGTGTTTTGTTCACTGTAGTTATCCCCCTCAACCTGTCTTTATGGCGGTGAGTTCTGTGGGCCTTAGCCGTCATCTCCCAGAAAAACCTCAAGTGGGTGAGGAAGAGATACGAATGATCAAAGCCACTTATGCATTCTGCCTGTAGGAAATTCCATGCCATGAGGATCATTGCAAACACTGATTAGTCTAGCACACAGTCACCCTGACTGGGCACGTTCTATGTGTCAAGCATGCAGTAGAGGTTGCAGGAAGTATTCATTTATTGTAAAACCTTTAAAAGCTTGCTTGTTGCACAAATATTTTCTGAATGAACATATGACTGTGAACCAATGATGGTGGCTTGGAGCAGGAATTCGTAGGGGAAGTCATGGTGGAAGGGATGTGTTTTAACCCTATAAAACCTTTATGCCAAGACAACGTGCTTTTTTTCCTTCAGAGCAGTCAGACTCTGGACACATTGTGAAGGCAGACCTGACTGCTACTCTGACTGTAAGGAAACAAGGCTGGAGTCGGGACTTGAATCCCAATCAAATGATACAGCCTAAGCATAGCTCATCTGAATGAATCACCATGAGCATTTTAAAAGAAACAGCTAAGCATTGGCTGGAAAATGCCCATCTTGTTCCACCGTCCAGATGGGGACAGGTGGATATACTTAGGACACAGCCAGTGGCTCTGTAGCTGTCTGGTCTGTTCAGGTGGGTTGGTCAGAAGGACATGTAGCTCCACACCTAGGAAGGGACACCCATTTACTGATGAGCTCCTACTGACAATTGAGGACACTCATTGGTTGTTTTCCCAAAATTTTAGAAACTCTTTGGGAGAGATAAAAACATTGAAAAATTACGATTGAGCTTTCTGAGAGATGTGTTTTGGTCAAGGAACCTTTGGACGCTCTTCTCTTTGCTGTTCTTCATACGGAATTTATGCAGCAAAGGAGGATGTGGTGCTTTGCAGTTCCCTTGGTGTTATCACAGGGGCTTTCAAGTAGATGAGAAAATATTTTATTCCTAAGATAAAAGAAGGAACTAAGCCTCTTTAGAATCAGTACCTATGTCTTCTCAGTTCTACCCCTATGCTCTCCACTGCCCATATTGCTCAAATACTATGACCCGGGCATTAGTGTGTTTATACTCGTGCCTCCTTGGGAAGCCATTCTGAATGCTGGAATCAAGTCATCCCACAGCGAAGGATTTACTGCTGTAAGGCAAATGATACCGTACAGCCTCAGCAAATCTGAAGAAGGCTCTATGGATTAAAGAACTCAGTGTGTCTCCTTTTAGTCCACTTCTTGTTTATGCTCACAGCCTGGGAGCTGCTGGTGTGAGCCACCTTCCATGTAGCCTCCTGTTTTGTTTATTTTGTGCTCAGTCACCTTTTCCTTCCTCGTTCCACACAGTGTCAGTGCTGCACACTCAGAATTCTTTCGCCATCCTGCTGTGAGAGCTCACTCCTTTCAAGTTACAGAGACATTAATCTATTACTGTCTAGACTTGGCAAATGTTGGGAAACAGACTTGTAAATCAACTCGGTATTCATGGAGATTTAATTGCTTTCTAATACCACGAACACTCAATAAACAGCCAATGAAAAATTAAAAGGTATCTTCGCAGAGGTGAATTGTCAGAAGAGTGCAATCCTACTGTGCGATTTCATCTGTTATAGAAGCATTAGTGGGCAGTTTAATTCTTCGTAGAAGATGAATACAAGGGAATAAAAAACAAAACAGTGAACTTTTGTGTGTGTGTGAGAACAGGACTTTTATAAGACCTGGAAGGAATCGTAATTGTCTCACTTTTCCCAGTGAGAAAGCTAATACTTCTTAAAGAAAAAAATAAACAAATTTACCTATATGTTCTCCTGGGAGCAGAGGCAAGACTATAAACCTTGCTTTTTAAACTTATTAGCTACCATTTTAACTTTCTTTTATTAGTATTTTGGCTAATAAGGTTGTGGAGTTGCTTTGTAAAAACTTTGCAGAGTTGCTGCAACATTTTATGGAGATTTTCCTTAAGTTTCACAACTAATTTACCTGCTCCATAGCCTTTGTTTCAAACATTTATAAGGAAATGTTCTTGATAGGAAACCATCTCAGTATATCAGAACAGTCTAAGAAGCATTTCAAAATGCACTTCTTTTTCTTTTTCTTTTTTCTCTTTTCCTGTTATGATCTGAGCTCAACACTGAAGGCTATTTCTGAAGTCGCTCTTTATAAAAATCCTTGGGACTAATTCAAAGAGGCACTGGGAAAATCATTCTTTCTCCCCTAGCCACTTAGCCAGTGTAATCACCAAGTCAGCCAAGGATT